GTTTTCAGTCATATAGCTGGGCATCTGGAGCCAGAAGTTGAGCCCAGGGTCAGCTTCCAGAGCCTGGTGCTGAGCCTTACCATGGTATTGCCCTCTGCTGGACAGGCTGTAGACCTGGGGGAGGTAGGGGAATGGAGGGGTGAAAAGAGGGAGTATGGGCTTGAAGCCCTGCTTAGGGACAGAGGACAAGTGTCCCACTCACTACCTGAAAAGGCAGTTCCCCCTGCCCTTTCCCATCCCCCAACCACACCTCTAGTAGCATGGCCAGTGGCTTGCGGTTCTTTCCCCAGGATGTGGAACCATCTTCACCTGCTGCCCTTGCCGGTCTGCGCCCCTACACAGACTATGTGGTTGGTTCGGACCAGATCCTCCAGGAGGTGAGGAACCTGTAGCTTGCCCCTCCCTAGACCCTCTGGATGTGGTGTGAAGAGAAGGGTGCTGTCCACGAGAAGTGTCTGGTTTTGTTGAGGCTTTAGCCCTGGAAGCAGGCCTCAGGTGCTATGCGTTTCTCACAGTCAGAGGACTTCTTTACGCTCATCGAGTCTCATGAGGGGAAGCCCTTGAAGCTGATGGTGTATAACTCCGAGTCAGACTCCTGCCGGGAGGTGACTGTAACTCCCAATGCAGCCTGGGGTGGAGAGGGCAGGTACTTCATGGGGTTGGAGGGCTGCAGGGCCAGATGGGTGGGGCGTGACCATTGGGCATGGACCTCAGAGTCCTATGGTGGAGATGGAGGAGGGTTGGGCCCTTGTCCCAGGGATCCTGAGGCTGACCAGTGTTTCAGAAGTACCCTTTTCAGTCCCCTTATTGCTGGTAGTAGGTGGGGATAGCAAAGGTAGGGAGGGCCATGGGACAAGCCCCTGAATTGAATGTTTCTGGCCTTCGGCAGTCTGGGATGTGGCATTGGCTACGGGTATCTACACCGGATCCCAACTCAGCCCCCCAGCTACCACAAGAAGCCACCTGGCACCCCACCATCTTGTGCTCCACCACCTGATGCCCCACTGCATGATGCCCTACCACCTGGACCCACCCTCGAGGACTCTCCTTCCCTGGAGACAGGTTCCAGGCAGAGTGACTACATGGAGGTATGTGGGGAGAATCCATCAACTGGGAAGAGAGAAGACTCTAGAGGCTGCCCTTGGGGAGCCATCAGCAACCCTCAGGGGCCTGTGGGGCCTTTGTGATCTGAGAGGCCCATCTACTTCTGGGACCCAGTGGGAGCAGGCAAGCCATGCCTGGAGCAGTGAAACTCACTTTTGGCTTTCCTGCCCCTTGGGTCTAGAAGTGAGGGTGGAGGTGAAGCCCAAGTTGTCATCTTCATTTCATGAGCGGGAAACTGAGGCTCAGAGATGGGTGCTTGCTGTGCCTGTGAGTTGTGGCAAAACTGGACAAAGGGCTGGGCCTCCAGAGCCACAGTTGGGATGGTTGTCTGGCCAAGTCTGCAGGGAAGTGCTGGCCCTGCCTTCACAGCTGATGAGTGGGTCCTCTGAGAGCACCTTTGGGCACTGGGCTGGTGCCTGGGGTCTGGGCCAGGGAATATTCAAGGATGTTCTCCAGGTACGCCTGAATTCAAGGAAGGCCCTGTCTTCTTGTGAGTCATTGATGGGGCAAAGGAAATGTGTCGGGGCCAGGTGGGCACCTGGGATTCCTCATCTGAGTGGAAAGAGTGCTCCCTCTCAGTGCCAACACTGCAGGGGAGGCCAGGACAGGCCCCTCAGGCCTGACTTCCTATCACCAATATAAGAAGGGGTGGCTTATTGAGGCCATTTCCTTCCTTCAGGCAGAGCAGTGCTCCTGGGACAAGATTGGACTGCAAAATTCTTCACCTTGAGGCACTGTCCTGATTGTCCCCTACCCATTTCTTCTTCTTCCCTAGGCCCTGCTGCAGGCACCTGGCTCCTCCATGGAGGATCCCCTTCCTGGGCCTGGGAGTCCCAGCCAGAGTGCTCCAGACCCTGATGGACTTCCCCATTTCATGGAGACTCCTCTTCAGCCCCCACCTCCAGTGCAGCGAGTCATGGACCCAGGTAGTGGGCAGACCCTGGAGAGGAGTGGGCCCCAGGCCTGGGGCTGGACTTTGGCAGGAATGTCAAAACTTTCCCCAGGCCCTGCCGACCCCTCATATCTCATGTACACCAAGATATTAATAGTTGCATACCATCCAATCTAGTGTACAGATGGGGAGTGTGTAGTCCAGAGAAGAGAGGTGGCCTTCTTCAGGTCACACAGCAAATTGGAGACAGAGCAGTCTAGACCCACTGCCACTGTGCTATTCCCATAATGACCAACTCCAGGTCCCTTTCTTTCCTCAGAAACAGGCAGTGTGGGAACCTCTTTGAGGCTGGGTGAGGTGTATCACCAGGGTCTGAGGCGATTACAGTCTCACAGGCTGGGCCAGATGCCCTAGGCAAGTTGAGCCCAGGGTGTTGCTTTCCAGCAGTCAGGGTTTGATGCTGGCAAAGAACTGCACCACCCTCCCCCAGGCTTCCTGGACGTGTCAGGAATTTCCCTCTTGGACAGCAGCAATGCCAGTGTGTGGCCCAGCCTGCCCTCTTCCACAGAACTGACCTCCACAGCTGTCTCAACCTCAGGGCCAGAGGACATCTGCTCCAGCAGCAGTTCTCATGAGCGGGGTGGTGAGTGGCCATCACCTTCTGAAGTCCTCTGGGAAGGACCCCGGGTTGTTGGGAAGGCTGCCCTCAATTCTTCAGCTGGGCAGAAGCAGGCCATTGGGTTGACAGAGTCACACCAAGGCATTTGTATACTCCATCTCCAATCCCCCATCAAACCTGGAGTGGCAATGGGGGGTGGTCAGTGGGGTTACTGGCCCTAACACCATGGCCCTAGGTTCTTGCAGGCCTCCTCAGCCTGATCTTCTGTGTTGCAGGTGAGGCTACATGGTCTGGGTCAGAGTTTGAGGTCCCCTTCCTGGACAGCCCAGGTGCCCAAGCCCAGGCGGACCACCTGCCTCAGCTGACTCTTCCTGACAGTCTCACCTCTGCAGCCTCACCAGAAGATGGGCTGTCTGCCGAGCTGCTTGAAGCTCAGGCTGAAGAGGAACCAGCAAGCACAGAGGGCCTAGATGTTGGGACGGAGGCTGAGGGGCTAGCCAGCCAGGCCCAGATCTCTACCGCAGAATAACACCCTGGGCTGTGACAAGGCCCCTGGTGACATTTCATGAGGCCCAGATGTGGGCAGGCAGCCCAGGCTGCACTGTGCGGTCAGCTCCAAGCTGATCCTAGCCCTGTGCCTGATCCCAGCCCTATGTGTTCAGCTTTCTAGGCTGTAGCTCCAAGTGATGTGCAGGGACTTCTGCTGGCAGGGGGCTTCTGTGTCCACTCAGACTCTACTTCTAGTGTCCAAGAGGTAACCTCCCAGCATTTATCCTGCCTGATAGTCCTGGGTTTGGGGGTTTCAAACAAGTCTTTCTGGGGTAGTAGAGGGCTGGGAGCAGCACCCCAAATTGTTTTATAGGAGCTGGGGTAGGAGAGGAAGGATTCTTTGCTGCTTGGGTGGGGCATAAGGCCTCAGTGGGTGGTGAGAGGGGGCCACGGGCCTTGTGGGAGGACGTCTTTTGGCCGTGTACCCTCAGGTCCAGTGCTTGGTCCTGCTCTGGTCACTGGGGCTGCCCAGGAGGCAGCAGGGTCTGGTTATAATCAAATGTGAAGATGAGGTGAGGAAGGAAGGGGTTGCTGTCCAGGGTTGGCCTGGTTGCTTTGATTCTTCCTGCACAGCTCAGCCCACCCCATCTGTACTGGAAGGGACCCTGAAGCCCTGGGACCACCCCCTTTCAAGTCCCAATCACTGAGTCCTCTGTCATGTGTCCTTGTCCGTAGGCTACACTGCCACACTTGGCTCAGGCTGGCCACCATGCTAGTCACGGGAGGGGGATAGAGGCAGTGTACTTGCCCCCCTCTCCTGGAGGGAGGTGGGTTGGAAATTCTAGGCCCTTCAGCAGAGACCCATTTGTGCCCAGACCACAGTATTTCTTCTTCCTCAGGGCCTACATACCACAGACCTGTATCCCCAGTGGCAACTCCTGTTAGCTCCCAAACTTAAACAGTGATCTCTTCTAAATATACAAGGCACCTACCCAGCCTCAATAGTGAATAAAAGTCACAAATTTAAGTTCAACACCCTAAGCAATTTCTCAAAGCCAGTCTACCTGACTAGGTCTATTCACCCACAGTTTCCAACCCCAAGGGGGAATTAAGGGAATAGATTCAGAGTAGATAAAGACCCTTCTGTTCTTTCCTGTTGTAGGGGAGGAAGCTGTTCTCCCCACCCCAGGTGCCTTTGCAGGTTAAGGCTACGTTAGGCCCTGCACTCCATCCGGGGACGGCCCCTCATCACCTGAAGTCCTCTGCTGTGTTGACTGGACTCTCACTTCCCACACTGCTAATTATTTTGAAAGCCGCCTCTGGTCTTGTCTTCTAGCCTGTGCCTAGTTGAAAGTCTCACCTTTACAGGATCATGTGTAATGCTGGTGTACATGCATGGAACTCACAAGCTCTGTCAGCTGCGGGACAAGGAATGCCTGCTCTGGGGGGCACAGACCAACTATATGGAGGGAGGGCCCCAAATCAGCAAACCCTAAGTTTGAAGCAAACCCTTCATTTAAAGCAAACCCTTGTCAAGCCTACCCGAGCAGCTGATACGTGTGCAGAACAGTGAGGCATTGTGTCCTGGATCGTCTGGGAGCCCAATGTCAAGTCTGCAGGAATGCAGGAAGTAGAACAGAATCGCCACAGGACTGTTCTGGGGCCAGCTTCCCTTAACTCTGTAGCCTGGCAGTCTGACCCAAAGTTGCCCTCACCCGAATGTTCTGGCTCTTCCCTCCCTCACTTTTACTTTCCCTTCCCCCGTAAGTTGGAGGATAAAATGGGTATCAATGCTAATATTTCCAGGGAGAACATGAAACCAGAGGTTTCTTTCTTTCTCTGTAATCTGCTATGAAAGAAAATGACAAATGAAAATAAATGTGTACTACACTTCGAAATATTTTAACTAAAGCCTTTATTCTATACAACTGTGAAATACAGATTTTTACCCTTTTGGCATTGCAGGACTGTCAAATTTTCTGGAAACTGTATTACGGTTTGACTGGAGGGGAAAGAAATACAATCATGCTGGGGTTCAGATCTATGACAGGAGGGGAATGCAGCCACCCAAGGCTTAGCACACAGGGCACAATGACCCAGCAAAACCCATTTCTTTGCTCAAAGGCCCCTCGTGCAAATACAACTGAGGGCTGGTAAATAAGTTTGGTTTTTTGTTTTGTTTTGTTTTTGCCGTTAATTCACAACTATTGCTAAAAAATGTGCACCAAAAGCGCACTGTTGTATCCAACAGATAGAAAGGACTTTTAAAAAAAAAAGCTGGTTGCTCTCTGAGGAAGGGAGAGAGACCATTTCAGCTTATTGGAAATGTGGCCACGTCTTTGCTCACTTCTTCAAAGTGCAGGTGGCAATGGCCTGTCCAGTTTCCAAAGGAAGCTGACTAGCAGTGAGGGAACCCTGTCTCTGCAGTTGTGCGATCAGAATATCTTAAATAGTAAGGTATGGACTTAGGCCCATCAGCTGCCCCCAGCCGAACCTGTGAAGACGTGGAAAAGAAAAAACCTTCCCTGCCTCCCTAGTCCCTGCTATGCTGGAGGCAGGCCACACACAAGCTAGGGAGGCAACTGGACTGGAATCAACTGCCCTCTGAAGGCACTTGTGCTTCTGGCTTCATACAGGAGGCTTGTCTTACAGTTTCATGGGGGTGGACCATTGATTTACTCTGAATACAAATGACCTTGGGGAGAATCCAAAGTATTTTCTGCCAAAAGTTGAAGTGTTTATCCCCAATAAGTTACATTCTATACAAGATCCAAATGATTCTATGAAAGTATTAGATTGTTAGAACAGTGAAAAGAAGATCTAGATACAGGTACAACAAAAACCTGCATATAAAACTTTGGAAAAACAAATATGTATACTTCCAGGATATGAATATCAAATTAACTCACTATGATCTCCCTTTACTCTGACACCATAAATTTTAGGTAACATCTGAATGAAACTGAAATTTCACCATGGTCTTAAGTTTTAGTGGTGTCATGCTGCTCATCCAGAGCAAGAACCCGTGGTCTCAGCTCGCTTTGTGTAAATAGAACTGGACACAGTAGAGAAAGGAGTGAAACGGCTGCACCTCCCTGGGGTTGCCACAAAGCCAGGACGTCATGGGAGGGTGCAGCATCACTAGGCACGGGCTGCGCAAACTCTGGCCCAGCAGTCCAAGTGCTATGATCCAGCACCTGGAATTTCAACAGATCTTCCTACAAGAACACATCTGAGATGCAATATTAAAAACAAGCCCAACATTAATCTTTTATTATGAAATGGGCTGGTTCTCAAATTGTGCAACAGCAAGTTCCCACTAAAAATAACTGTCTTAAATGGTGAAAACAATTTGATTTTTTTTATATGACAAACTTGGAAAAAGCCTTCATATCTATTGCATGAATGGAATGTACTCTTTTAGAAAAGCTACAGAGTGTGTGGGTTTGAGGTTGAAACAAAGACAGTTGTGGCCCGATCGAGGTGTCTCTAACAAGTGCTAACAGACAGATAAGGTCCTTTGAAACAAGGAGGAAGCAAAGTCTGCACTGGCCTGCTGTCAGTCTTCTGTACATCTCGAAAGGCATAGTCTGCTTGGGGTTCTTCTGCTCTTGCATTCTGCTTCCCTGGGGACAGCTTAATCTACACATGGAGACTGGTTTCTATATTACATCTCGATTAGTCACTTCAATTGAAAGATAATCTCGGTCCATACCAAATCGGCCATTAGAAGTCTTGCTCCCGTTGGGGCTCAGTGGGCTTCCTAGGACTACTCTTGGGGCCATAGAGGAAGGTCGTAAATGAATACCCAGGAGCATAAGCCCAGCCTTCACGTGGACTTCTGACGGTAATGGAGGGTTAGGTCTCCACCGCTCTTCCATATGAAGTGTTTCACTGTTCGAAGGTCCATATTTGGATCCAAAACCTGAATAGCCAAAATTAAGTTTAAAAATTTCAAAGTCTCTAATATCTAAAACCTTTATCATTAACTCAGGGACTCTCATCAGGTGATCCAGCTTGCTCACTCCTCCCCTATGCCTGGTATCCAATTCTTGCTGTCACGGCTTCCATGCATGTGGGAATGAAATTGAGCTTAGTGAGATGTACATCTTTTGTGATTATGCCAGAAACACCAGGCCATCTTTCAGCCATTCGTCTAAGGATACGTTTTGAGTGCATCTTGATTTAAAAAACCATTCTGCCATTTCTCCGCACACCTTCACTCTAAATCATAAACATGGCACATGCTGCTTTGCAAATCAAGAAGACCATGTGTCTTTTTTTTGTCAGAAAAAAAAGCTACCAGCACATCCACATTTGTCTATGTATCCCTTCTCTGAAAATCTCCCCAGCAGTAAAGAGGAGCTTTAGGGTGGGCTTTAGGTGGGAGAGGCCCAGGGCTCCTTAGAGCCCCTCTAAAAGTAGAAGCCCCCTGCCCAAAGGCATGTAACTCTTGATAAGCACCAGCACTGGAAAAATTGGGGCTGCAGTCCTCAAGTCCACTTACCTGGTCCTGGCACAAAAGTTCAATTTTCTCCTCTGCCAACACAGCAATATCCTCTTCTTTTTCCTGTTCTCCTGGTTTTTCATTATTAGAAGAGCTAGTGGTTTGAGACTCATTATCCAAGTTGATAATTTTTTCATAAACATGTTCCATAACTTTTCGGACTTGGAGCATGTCACTAGCAGAGAGTCTGTCTCTGTAAAGAAGCAGTGGCATATTGTGACATCAGGGAAATCACTAGATATTATTTATTCCATATTATTTTTCTTTGATGCAAACATTTTATAAAGATGAAAAATCAATAAATGTTTTTAGTCATTACCTTAATCCATTTTTAGAGCTGCCGAAAGATTTTCTACAGTGTCCTTCTAAGACATAGTTTATGTACAACTAAATGAGATTAATACATGTTCTTAAAACTTACATATACAGGCCAGGCGTGGTGGCTCATGCCTATAATCCCAGCACTTTGGGAGGCCAAGGCAGGTGAATCACTTCAGATCAGGAGTTCAAGACCAGCCTGGCTAACCAACATGGTGAAACCCCGTCTCTACTAAAATACAAAAAATTAGCTGGGCATGGTGGTGCACGCCTGTAATTCCAGCTACTCAGGAGGCAGAGGCTGCAGTGAGCCAAGATCATGCCACTGCACTCTAGCCTGGGCAACAGAGTGAGACTCCATCTCAGAAAAACAAACAAACAAGCAAAAACACTTACGTATATATACATAGTAGCCTTCTGGGTTTTATTCCCTTGAATACTTTCCCAGAGCCTGGGCAAACTAAATAATTCTGGAAAGGCAGGCAGCTCCCAATGCTTACCAGAGTCCTACACTGCTCAGTTTTCCCTGGGCTTTCCTCCCCACTGCCATGCCTTCAACTAGCACCTGTGGGTAGACAATGCCTGAGTCTAGACCTTGAGTCTCAAACTTCTGTTGTAAACCACAAACCCAACAGCTGGTTGGGTATCTTCAGTTGGATGTCCTACAGGCACTTCAAACTCTCTATGTCCCAAACTAGACTCATCAACACCCTACTTCTGTATCTCTGATAACAGTCAATAACTATTACACCAAAAAACTAAGGCTTACGCTCTGAAAAGCATTTGAACTGCAGTTGTTAAATCTATCTGAAGTGATGTCTAAGACTCACTTTAAAATAATTGTGTGTATGTGTCTGTGTGGTGTGTGGAGGGAGGTGGGTGGGAGGGCAGGTAGAGGTACAGGTGAAGCAAAATGTTTAGCAAGGTATTGATAATTACTGAAGCTATCTGATTGGACAATGGGAGGTCTTTCTATATAAGTTTGGAAATCTCTGTAACAAAGAGACTTACAAATTTTTTTGATTTTATTTGCTAGAATATACATATTGTTCATAGTTTAGCATTCCATCACTACACTACTAAAATTCTTCTCTTGGGTCTCCCTGGACCATATCCCACATTGGCTCAAAAGTCACTGCACGCTCTATGGCTTGGCATTCAAATCCAACATCAACAAAACCTTTAACAGCCTTTCCAATTTACTTCCTAATATCTTCCTGCTGTGCCTCCATCCCATGCTGCAGATGCATGGGTCCTCACACTACTTTCCACTATCTTATGCATGCTCCCACTTCCACATCCCTGATCACACTGTGTCCTGGACTTGGAATATCTATCTATTGAATTTCTACCAATCATTACATGTCCAACTCAAATTCCATGTCCTTCAAGAAGCCTTTCTGGGAAGCTCCAGCCACAAGCTCATTTCTTTCTCCCACTCTCATTATTCCTTAAGTATCCATAAAAGCAACTATTATATACAGGTTGGGTCCTAAACTGTGAATTAAGGCAACAGACAAAATGCGTGTTTTATTTATCATTTTTTTCTTAGAGACAAGGTCTCTCTCTGTTGCCCAAGCTGGAGTGCAGTAGCATGATCTTAGCTCACTGCAGCCTCAAACTTCTGACGATCCTCCTGCCTTAGCTTCCTGGCTAGCTTGAACTACAAGTGTGTGCTACCATGCCCAGCTAACTTTTTTACTTATATCTTTTGTAGTGAGGGGGGTCTCACTATGTTGCTCAGGCTGGTCTCAAACTCCTGGCCTCAATTAATCCTCCCACCTCACGCTCCCAAAGTGCTGGGATTATGGGTATCAGCCACTGTGCCTGGCCTTATTTATTTCTGAACACCTGTAGTCGGCCAAAGTTGGTACCTGGTAAGTGGTTTAACTGTATAAACTATGAATATTATAAAATCAGCCTTAGATCTGGTATATGCTTCCTTTGCTATAAAAGGAAGGAAAAGGAATTCTCTCAGTAGTTAATTAGATCAATAAAGCATATATTTACTTACTTTTTTAAGGTTTTTGCTCCTGAAGATGCATGAGGTTGGAGGTAGAAAGGAATTTTGTTGAATTTGGGCATATTTTTCTGAAACAGTAAAAGTTAAAAAGGTGTAATAGTTTCTATTAGTTGATAAATGAAAATAATGTTAATAGGAAAACATGACTTGCGAGTAATAATTATCTTACAATTAAAAGTGACTTTCTATGAAATGTATAGTGAGCTATCAAATTACCTAAGTCAGCCTTTGAGAAAATTCATCAGAAAAATATATGTAACATTAGTGGCAATATGAAATTGTAGCATGGCTCTTCTTAGATAACAGTACAAGGTATTAAAGAGAAACAAACTTTATTTTAAATTTTTAAGCCATACAAACCAAAATCTCAATTCTACATTAAAATATTGGGGCTGATACCTAAAGGCCCAAACAAAAACTTAAGTGTCTTGAGAGAAACCCACAGCATTCACCTTTGAGCAAAGCCACATATTCTGTGCTGGTGAGGCCCATCATCCAACTGAAAAGGCCAATCAAAGTCCTCCCATTTTCTTTCCCTCTGACATCAGAGTGAGGTCTGAGGTGTTAAGAAAGAATGGAAACTTCAGCCAAGAACCCAGATGTCTACCATGAAGTAAACCACATTCTTAGATGAAAGATAAAATTACGTGGTCATCTTTTCTCAGGGTATTAATCCCCTCCGAGCCTCCATGTCACATCCTGTCTGGATGTCTCCTCTCAGGAATAAGCCACAGGCCTAAAGTCAGCAATGTGTCCCAGGTGAGTTTCACACTCAAAGAAATTAGTGGCTTATGGGGTGCTCGGGCATAGAGAAGACCATGGAATATCCATCAGGTGTCACACTGGCTTTAAGTCTTAGAGGTATATCCGGGACAGAAAATAAAGTTTCTGAAGGTTCTAAAGATTAAATTCCTTTTCATACGGCTTTAGAAAGATATGAAATAGATCCACAGTACATAAGACAGTCTAGAAACAGACCCATATGTATACAGAAATTTAGTACATGATAAACACAGCATTCCAGATTAGTAGAAAAAGGACAGATTTTCAATAAACTGTGCTAGCACACGAGCTGTCCCTTTGGAAAAAGTCAGAATCCTACTTCACACCAAACAGAAGAATAAATTCTAATAGATTAGAGAGCTAGAAATAAGTATCATAAAAGAACTAAGAGAATATAGGAGAATATTTGTGTTACTTTGGAGTAGGAAATACCTAAACAAGACATGAAACTGAGAGCCATCAAGGATCAATTTGATTATATAAAAAGTAAAACTTTTCACCTGGCAAAAGCAAGCAGGAACGAAGTGAAAATTTCATTGAGAGACACAGATAATAGTTAAAGGGTAAATATTCAATACAAAGAACCACCCCACAAATCAGTAAGAAAAATGACCCAATAGAAAAATGGATAAAGAATACAAACAGGTAATTCACAGAAGAAAAACAAATGGCCAATATGAAAAGATGCTTAACTTCATTATTAATTTGTTTTTAATCCACATAAAAATAATGAGATACTGTTTGCCTATTTTTTAGCAAAGATTAAAAGTATCCAGTGTTGGTGCAGGTGTGGGGAAATGGGCACTCATACACTGTTGGTGAGAATGTAAACTAGTACAGCCTTTGTGAGGGCAATTTGGCAGTATCTATCAAAATTTAAAATGTGCATACCCTTGGATCCAGCAATTCCACTTCTAAGAATTTATCCTAAAAAGTACACAAAGATATATGTACAAAGATGTTCACTGCAGCACTGTTTGTAATAGAAAACATTGGAAACAACTTAAATGTCCATTAATAGGGGACTGATTAAATAAATTATGGTACATTTATACAGCAGAATCTTACACAGTCATTAAAAAGGAATGATTCGCATGTACAGACATGAAAAGATGTCCAGGACACATTTTTTTAGGTGAAAAAAAGTTGCAGAACAGTATGTATAAGAGATTTTGTGCAAAATCAAATGAACTGTAGACACATCTATGTACACAAATATTATAGAAAGAAAAAAGTACTGAAGGCTATGCATTAATTTATTATGCATGGGAGGAAGGATAGGGAGTGAATGGGCAAGAATGAATGCTTGGGAAAGAGATGAGGGCTTCATTCATTTATTATTTTATTGAATAAGCATATATATAAAAACCAACAAAGCTAGATATATAAATAATTATCAGTACCATTTCTGCAACTTTGGAACTGCAAGGAAGCAGATGGGGATTCCACTTGGGAGTCTAGCTTTTAGTAAGGTTTAAGATTATACTGTCTAAAGCAGTTCTTAATTTCATGAGTTGCAAAAAAATAAAATAGCCAAGTGGGAGTGGAGGATACTTACATCCACAGTGATGTCAATTACCCATTGTGGCACCGTCTCATTAAGAAGCATCGACTCAGTCTCACCCCCAGAATCTCGGCAGAGCAGCCTAAACATAAGCCATCAAGTAGTAAGTAACCTAACAAGCACAAATGTCAAAATCACTGTCAACAAATATTAGAGGGAGGAACCCTCATGGTTTTCATGTAGGCTAACCCCCACTTGACAGCTGAGGAAATAAAGTACAGCCTGGAAGAATGACTCACTCAGCTAAAAGGGAAAGCAGGCCCTAAAACTCAGGCCCCCAGATTCCAAGGCCAGGCATACACTATAGCTGCTTCTTGGAGTCCTTGGGTGATGACAGGAAACCTGGGTACAAGCAAAGCACTCAGTAAATGTCCCCAGCTAGTGCCACAGTGCATGGCAGAGACTTTCACATGCAGTAGAAGTCAGAATATTTCTGGTAACCACTCAGGAAACTATCAGAAAGAAAGATAATCCTGCACTCAAGAATAAGACAAGCATGTCTTATTCTTTCTTTCTTCTGGCAACTATAGACTAGTAAGCTCTCCCCCTGGCTCTACCAGGACCTTGCTGGCAACCTGGAGGTGAACCAGTCCAGCCCTTCCCTGAAGGGCCCCACATGTAACTGTCTGGCACCCCAGGCAATGTCAGTGTCAGCCTCAACAGTTCCCAGGAGCAGCCCAGCTCATCTTGGCTAGACCAGCCTAAGGAAAGTAATGTACTCTGAAGCTCTTCTGTGGGCAGGGAATTCTAGTGGTATCATCTGTTGCTTGACCCTTGCAGTCACACGGGCAAAGTGAAGAGAAGTGAAAATTTCCTATAGAAACCAATAGAGAAGCTGCTTCGAGGCAAAGTATTCTACCTCATTCTAACAGTAGAGGTTCTCCTCCCAGTTAGAATGTGGTCTAACAGCAGCAGACATTTCACTATCTCATGGACATGGGATGCTTCCAATCCCTGGCATCCCTAGAATTTAATAATAAACTATTTCTAGTATCGAAATATTGAGTTTGAGTCGACACTTCTTAGCAAATGGGATACCTTCTCAGGCAGAACCTCTGGTCTTTCTTACCCATACCTGAACAGTGTGCGACCTCCAGCTTCACCAAAGATCACGGGTGTGTGTGGGGGCACTTGAAAATATCCATTTCCCTTCTGCACGCGGTTCTCCTGCTCCCCATTTACTAGGAAAAGATGCAGGTGGTGTTAGTATCAGAGTTAGTGCTAAGAACAGATTCTAAACATTTTACTCCCATAAGCTTCAAACATTGCAAGATTAAATTCAAATGTCCTCTAAGTCCACCAGAGTTAGAAATAAAGGTTAAAAACAAAAGTTAAATTTCTGAAAATAAGAAACACAGCAACTTGTGGTATATTTCATGGAAAAAATGACTGTATTTTCAAGGATTTTAATAAAAAAGGAGACTAATGTTTGAGATTCAGAACAAAAACATAACCAGCTACTTCAGCCACAAGGAAGTCTAGGACAGCCTGTATATAAATGATGATCTAGGGCTTTTTTTTTTTTGTAGAACACCAAGCTCAGAAAAATTTCTTGAGGAAAAAAAATTACATTTATTGGCAGCCATAACTAATGACAGAAGCATTTGTGAAAAAATCCTCAAGGAGTCCACAATTTTGCTTTTATTGTTCTCTGCAGATTTCCTTTCCACTGTTGTTTTTTGAGACAGCGTCTCATTCTGTTGCCCAGGCTGGAGTGCAGTGGTGTGATCACAGATCATTGCAGCCTCAACCTCTCCTGGCTCAAGTGATCCTCCCACCTCAGCCTCCTGAATAGCTGGAACTATAGGCACACACCACCACAGCCGGCTAATTGTTTACATTTCTTGTAGGGACAGGGTCTTGCTATATTGCCCAGCATGGTTTCAAACTCCTGAGAAGCATCAACTCAGTCTCACCCCCAGAATCTCGGCAGAGCAGCCTAAACATAAGCCATCCAGTAGTAAGTAACCCAACAAGCACAAATGTCAAACTCACTGTCAACAAATACTAGAGGCCTCCCAAAGCACTGGGATTATAGGTGTGAGGCCACCACGCCTAGCTCCATTCTGCTTTCTTTATAAACTTTTGACCCAGCACAGGTGACACCAACTCAAGTGGCCAATTCATTCATGACACTTTCCTCATTAAACTGGAAGTATCTGACCCCCTGAAATCCTATAGCATTTGTGGAACCTCTCTCCTAGCACCCAATTCTTCTATCTCAGAGTGCTTTCCGTAAGTAACTCTGCCATACCAGAACATCAGCTCCTGAAGGACAGGGACCATACCCATGTGTCTTGAGCACCCCCACCTGAAACTTGGTAAGGGCCCCTGAATAGTAGAGCTGCTCACCATCTGAACAACTCCAGAGTGTCCACTGAGTATATGCTGCAGGTGCTGTGGTCTGAGCACTGGATGAGGAGGTAGCCATGCCCTGCCCTGCCTTCCCCGTGCAGTCTGATGTTAAGGATGACGTGGTTTCTGGTGATGTCTTCCTTATACTCCTCACCCAAAGCCTAGATCCAAGGGGTGCCTGACTATACCACTATTTTGATAACTTAATCCTTATTGCTTATTTGGGTCGCTGAGAGTATCCTATCTAACTGGAAATGATCTGCCCACAGCAACATAGCTGTTAAGCAGCAGAGCCCACCCCAGAACCTAGCTTTCTTGACCCTCTGTGGAAAGATTTTTCCATCAGTTTCTTTGACTCAAAGTCCACAGTACAATTCTGACAGGGATCAAAGTGTGTTAGGTGATGTAAAAGAAAAGCCACCATGGGTGGGACAACAGCACCCTCTCTCTGACAGGAACATCAGAAGACTGGTTTTCAAGGAAGCATGTCATCCTCATGTGAGAGATTTAAATTCCACATATCATCATGGGTGAATCTGACAGCCAGAACAAAGTCCCTGGCAGGAGGTACTCGCCATTGTTGCTCACTCCTGGTAGCCAGCAGAGAATCTTCAGAGGAGTAAGCCTCAGTTGATGGGACTCAGTGATTCCTCAACCAGCTGTAGGTTATACATGAGGATGTGAAATTCTAAGTTCTTGTTTCCCCTTCCTTTGATCAAACTGAGCCAAATGCATATATTCAAAACATGTTCTCCTCTGCTGCTCAGAGGACGTTACTGCCACTGCCTATGGCACACACACCTTTCAGATGTCCTCAATGACATTAATTCTTTACACATGCTTGAGCATATGCCCTGTCACTTCTGAGATGGAATTTGACTTTTTTTTGAAACAGAGTCAAAGTCAGGTAGGCCATGAGACTAACAAATACCAACATTTCAGCCCAACATGAAGAGTGACTATGCAATGAAAAACCTGGCTTTCTGATGCACCTACCTACCTAGCTTTGGAGGTTAATCCAAAAGATCACAGGTACCTTGAAGAATATTTTGGAAATAAGTCTGTTAAGGTGGCTCATTTTAAGACAAAAGTCATCCGAATATAAATATAGGGTATTTTATTTATCTTGAGCAGTCTCACTAAAAGCCACATCATAAGGTGGTCTGCTCTTTTGGAATCTCAGTCTCAGTTAAGACTGGATGGATGTTCCTACTTTGAGGTGTGGAAGGGCGGACAATAAATTGAGCACACCACAAATATTTTAGCAAACAGTTTAAGTAAGTACCTTTTAAGTAAGTACCTCTAACTTTTTATGCAACTATCTGAATACAAAAACTAACCATGGTTTACTTCATTTTCCTCTTCATCCATTGGATTCACATGTGTTCTAGGCCAATATTCCAGGAGTGCTTGGAGTAAAAGTCCTCCTAAATTCACTGTCAAGAAGTTAATTAAAAAGAGATAAAATGGAAAAGAGAGTTAATTGGCTTTAACCTAAAAAGAGAATAAAAATTCTAAGTTTGTACATATTCTGATGTTAAATTCTTAACCCAATGCCAATGATGTCTAAAATTAAGACTTTAGTCATTTTGCCAATTATGCTAAAATTTTATCTTAGAATGTTTAAAGCAATGATGATATGGAGCAAAGAGATATTCTATATGGTTGCTCAGATATAGCTATTATTTAAAAACAAAAATGAGAATCAGATTCTTTAAAGGGCTATTTCCATATGAAGTTACTAAAATGATTTGTATTCATCAGGTATTTGTACATACCACATTTTTAGGACATAGTCAACAAAATATAGAGAACTTTTATAAAGATAAGTACTTAGCAAAAAACAGCTCATATTCATGTTCTCTTTAGAAGGGAGGGAAAAAATGAAGGACACTTAAACTCACATTTTGGATCTGACCCATCAGGGCTGCTAAAACCGGCATCTTTTGCAGAAACCCAGGCAGCAAAACAGTCACTTTCATCCAAAGTAATAGTTAACATCTATCAAAAGAAAAAACTTAGTGGCATTCTATTTGAATATATTCTCCAAACAAGTCTCTAAACCTTCATTTGTTTGTACTATTTGATTGAAGTGCTAAGTCATAAATTCAGGAACCAAAATGTGTTTTATGTGATTCAATGCAACTACACAATTTAGTTTCCTGGGATACCAAAGACATTCTGTAACTTTTTAATTTTTTTCTTTTTTAATTTTTTTTTGTTTTTTAAAATTTTGTTTTCTTTTTTATTCCGTTTTGCATTTTGTAAGTTTTAACACAGATTTTTTTCTTCTTTCACACTTAAAAACACAGGACTCTGTAACTAATAATAATTATGAGCTATAATGAAAATCTTCAATTATCCCAAATTATACAAGTATCAACTGCTAACTTACCCCTGTTTTTAAGTCTACTGAGAACCAATTTGGTACATATACCATTTTAAATCTTTTCTTAATTTCATCTTCAAAATCCACTTTGCCCAGATCTTCAACTTTACATGCCTATACATCAAAAGAAAGTATAATGATCAATATTAAGTGGTGAATTCACTTGGTTCTGACTTTGCTATTCAAAATTTTACACATTTTCACGTGTCTTAACAGTCTAAAATACATTTCAAAAAGAATGTGGTACTTTTTTAAAATAACAATCTGCTGCTATAAAAATTTTAAATTAAAAAAGCACAAAATATTATTTGGGGAGAAACTGTAATTTAATTGTGTTGATACTGATATAATATACCACCTCATCTTAACAGCAACGTGGCTCTTTCGAGGGTCCCAGTTGTCAGCCATCTTCTCAAAGGCGGACTGCTTATTTTCCCACATCTCATCGTTCCTTGATGCTACATGGAGACCATTACTCCACCATCTCCATGTAAAAACTTACTTCTCTGAGGCCCATGTCATTCAGCAGCAGTAAACTGTACACCTTTCCTTCACTGCCATCTAGCAACCTGCCACTCTCCCTCATTTACTGGAGACTTGAGCCCTGGGCTCACTGTCTCACAGTCCATCTCAATTAAATCTCTCTTCTACCTTTGACCTTGCCACCTTCCCCATTACCCTCAGCACATGATTCTGACTTCTTTTTCTTAAAACAAAGAAAAGCCTTGACAGAATCCCCTTAACTTTCTCTATCATTCTCCCTGGTGCAAGGAAAACGGTATCCCTTCTGACTGTGCTCCAGTCCCCCTCACCTCTTGCTTCTTGGGATGACTTTGTATTGTCATCTACCCATGAATGTCTCTACTGGCTTCTCCCTAGGAGCAATGAAATATGCTCAAATTTCTTACATCTGAAAAATACCCAAATACCCAAACAAAACCAAACAAAATCAAAAGCTTCCTTTGGCCCTCTGACTCCTACCTCTTCTCCAGCTTCTGCCTCTTCCTGCCTACCCCTCCAATCAAATTTCTTCAAAGATTATCCAGTCAAATTTTCTGTTTCTTCACCTTCAAATCACTACTCAACGCACTCCATCTGGCTTTTGCCCTTAAGACTCTAACCAGAGGCCACCCTCTTTAAATCCATGTGCATGTTACAGTCACATCTTAAATCAACTCACAGCAGGTTAATGCCACTAACCACAAGCTCCTTCCTGAAATACTCAATTTGTTCTTGAGCTGCCATTGGCTCTTGGTTTTCTTACTCCCCCGCAACTTTTTAAAATCATATACTATTGTGGCCTCCTCTTTTCCCAACATCCCTGAAAAACTGATGACTTAGTTTCTTCTCAGTCTACATATGTCCCTTGGAAACTCTGACATTTCCTATGACATCAACTGTAATCCACAAGCTGATGACTGCTGAGCCTTTTTCTCCAGCCCAGTTCTTTAACTGTGCTTGAGACTGTACAGCTGTCTGCCCACCATACATCTCTATTCAGATATCCCACAGAAACTCAAATTCAAAATCTTTCTCAGCATATCCTTTTCTCCTGATAACCTGTTTTTCATCTTACATTCCCTACATCACTTCTATTCAACAAACTGTCCAATCAAGAAACCTGGGACTCATTCTTGCTTCTTCCTTTCCTCATACTCCTTTCATTAAAGTATCACTCCTGTGGCCAGGCACGGTGGCTCACACCTGTAATCTCAGCACTTTGGGAGGCCAAGGCGGGTGGATCATGAGGTCAGGAGATTGAGACCATCCTGGTCAACATGGTGAAACCCTGTCTCTACTAAAAATACAAAAATTAGCCCGATGTGGTGGTGCATGCATGTAGTCCCAGCTACTCGGGAGGCTGAGGCAGGAGAATTGCTCCAACCAGGGAGTTGGAGGTTGCAGTGAGCTGAGATCGCGCCACTGCACTCCAGCCTGGGCAACAGAGTGAGACTCCATATCAAAAAAAAAGAAAAAAAAAAGTTATCACTCTTGTTCACAGGCCTAAATATTTTCCTAATCATTCTATTTTTTCCATCTCCCTTGTTCCCACCCTAGTCTAGACAAATATCACCTTTCACCTGTTTTAGTGCAACAGCCTCCTATTACGTACCAGACACTGTGCTTCTCAACATCACCAATAATAGGCACCCTCGACATTTTAGGAATGAAGAAACCATTTTAGAGATGTTCCCTAGCATATTCCCTAGGTCACTTGGTGAGTACTTGGCAGAGCCAAGGTTAGAATGCAGTTCTGTCCAACCCACAAGCCAATGTTCCTAAAAAACTCCTGACTGTCCCACACTGTTCAGCCATGTCTATTACACCAGATCATTTGATATCAAAACTTCAAGGTCTGGATATGGGAAGCTGCTAGGTACACAGAAATGCCTATCATGATGTGTGCTAGCCCCATCTAAGTAGAAGGACCTCCCATTCAGACGGCAGGACTCTACTCAGGCCTCAGTTAACCAGACCAAGAGTGGGCAACAGACCCATATACAGAAAACCTGATAGGTCAACTCTCAAAGAGTAGCTGGCCTGATCAGATTCTCTTGGGTATTCTGGAGATAATTACGTCCTGGGCAGCATGAGGTGAAGTCTAGCCACAGGACAGAGTTAGGGACACATTTGTGGTAGAGTATCAAAGTGAAGAATCAAGAATTCCTGCTGCTCAGTTCCTTAGGGCTGTTCTGGATCCTCCCAGTCCCCAAAGGAACTCTCTCTGAAATCAACATGAGTTTCTACCCCGACCCCCAACAGGCATCTCTCTATTGTAAAGAAAAACTAATCAGATTTTTGAAGCTTGCTGCAACTGAACTTTCTACTCAAAGAACTAAAGCCTCTCATTCTGAAGCAATGCTCACCAAACAACTGTTTCATAATGGACTTCCCACACAGATGTCCCACCAGGAGTAAAACCGGTAGTCAAGTCAAGGTTTCTGTTCACAGACAGGCCCTTTTTCCTAACAAGAAACTTGCCTGTCTTATTCTTTAGATCATTAAGTAAGTGAATCTCTTTTCTTTATAACCAGGAGCTTAACCAAAATACCAGCTCTTTTCAATTCTTCCTTTATAATATGCTCAACATCTGTCTCGCCCTTTATTTTTTTTTATTTATTTATTTAACCTTTCCTATGGTGCTCATGTCTCTTCCTTTAGATCTCTAATCATGATGTCTTCCAGCTTTTAGTCTCCCATTACACACACTAACTACTACTGCTCTCAACATGAGATTTTCCTGCTCTAAAATTATCTAAGGTTCTTCTGGGAGTACAAAAGAAAGGCCAACTTTGGGTACTGCAGCTTAAGACTCTTTGGGAAATAACCTATATGTCATTTTTCAACCTTACACCCCCTATTACTTCCTTATATTTACTCTGGTCTCCAAATAAACAAAACTGCTCACCTTGCCCCAAATAAGCACATACCATCCTTCTTCTGTGCCTCTGCCATTCATTTCCTTTTCCTGAAATGCTCTTCCTCCTACCCCCATTATTCATCTACTAGAAATCTTTAAGTCCTTGTTCAAGTGATTTCTCCACCACAAAGCTCTCCTGACTTCCCTCATCCATAAGCTATCCTGAAATCTGTTCCTTCTTTATCTATAAAGTTTTCCCATTCCACTTGTCCCTCCTACCAAAGGGGATCAAAGTAAAGACTTTTTCATCATTTATGACCCTTAAGCATGGTTCTTTGCACATGATAGTCATTCAATCTAAGAAATATCTGTTGAACAAATGAACAAGTATACCAACAACACTAAGAGACTGGTCAGAATGATAAAAGTAGACTAACTTTTTAATCTGCCTACAAACACTTCAGTGCTATTTGGAATGTGATTGAATAGCTTCATGCATTTCAACTGTCCCACAGGGAGTTATTGTAACACGACCCAGAGTTGTAACTAATGCTCATAGTGATGTCTATAAATCCTAAGAAACAGCCAACCTTATTTTGTGCACTCCAGTGTGTCTCATCTAGGGTGATTTTACACCATTCTTCCTCCCTCCAAACATCTGGCAACATGTGGAGACACCTGTGGTTGCCACACCGTGGGGGAGGGAGGGGTATTACTGGCAACTAGTGGGTAGAGGCTAGAGAGGTTCTAAACATCCTACAATGCATGGAATAGCCCCTACCTGCCTCCTCCCCCCACCAAATAATTATCTGGCTTAAGATGTCAATAGTGACAAGGATGAGACTTTTAAGGTAAGGCAGCATATAAGATTGTCTGCAATACACTAACCAGAGAAAATGATTCCATTTAAACAGTTTATTTACTTAAAAAGATGAACTATGACCTTATCTGATATTCACACAAGAAAGTATACACCACCCCATAAAGTATTACTGCAATTACATTTTAATTTATATCACATACAAAAAATAAAAAATAAAGGGGGTACACAATCTAACAACCTATATTTAACCCAAAAAACATACTCACCTTCAATACGTCCCAATATGCCACATTATTATTGGTATCTTTGGTTAATATATGTCTCTTATCATTAAGAATGTGGCACTGAATAATACTAGCACCCCCTAATGGGAAAAAAACAAACAAACAAACACACAATTGGTAAAACAATCCTCCTACATTTAAATTCACAGTGTGGTAACAATTGTTAACTGGTATGTAACAGGAACACAAACTGTACTAGCTACCAGAAAGGAAAAGGCAAACCAAAAGACTATATGATTATATCTAAAGCAATTCAAGGGCCATAAATTATTTATGTCCATTTATAAACATTCAAAGAAAAACTGTCTGATTTTAATAATACATTATGGATTAAAGGGCTCTTCATGTCAAGGGGGTACTAGTGGAAAATTGTTGAGAGACAACAGCTTTATCCACTGGGAAAAGTCAAAATGATGACAGGAAATCTCTGCATTAGTCTCATTTTGCATTAACTTTTGCTTCCCATCTTTTGCTTCCTGAATGAATATTCTAAAGGTTTAACAGCATGAACAAATGAATGTGCCACACAAAATTCTAATCCTAAACTCTGACATTAAACGTACGCTGCTTTTTTGCCATAATCAGCTGCAGCATGTAGAATTTGAGGATCATATCTGTCCTTTTCCGCCTCATACCTAAGTACAATATTAAATCCTATATATTTTACAAAGTGGCTACTGGTTTTATCATGGCTATTCTCATGTTAGGCAAATAAACTGACTCAAGAAAGTCCACTTTAAAAGTCACTAACAGCATTTTTTAAAGTAACTTTTTCTGGCTGGGCGTGGTGGCTCATGCCCATAATCCCAATACTTTGGGAGGCTGAGGCAGGCAGATCATTTGAGGTCAGGAGTTCGAGACCAGCCTGGCCAACAAGATGAAACCCCATCTCTACTAAAAATATACAAAGTAGCTGGGCGTGGTGGCTCACACCTGTAATCGCAACTGCTTGGGAGGATGAGGCAAGATAATGGCTTGAACCTGGGAGGCAGGGGTTGTAGTGAGCCGAGATCCTGTCACTGCAGTCCAGCCTGGGCGACAGAGCAAGACTCCATCTCAAAAAAAAAAAACAAAAAAAACCCGAAAACCAAAAAAACCCTCTTTTTCTTATATTAAAAATAAACCAGTGTATTATCTTTTGTTTACATCAGAATTATATTTAAAGCAAGGTCACTGTCTTCATTTTTGTCAATCTCTAAGTAACCACTGCTAACTTCAATAAAGGGTACAGTACCTTCCATTTTCTTACCTTTAATAACCTGGTCAGGTTGTGTACAAAGAGGTGTTATAGGATTTGTACAGTCATTGTCATAATCTCCAGAGGCTCTAAAATTATGAATTCCCTTCAAAGTCTAAAATAACAAAATTTATTATTGGATCATTTTACGCTCTACAAGCTTTGCCAGCCTGTTTAAAGTGGCAAGAAAAATAAAGTCAAAAAACAAACAAGAAAACCTCAACAACCACTACATCAACCGAAAAATATCTGATCACAATACAATTATCTATCATCGTTTATAAAGAAACAAATATTAAGAAGGGAATATTGTCTTTGGGAGAGAAAACTATGCACGAAAGTAGGAGTACTCTTCCAGGAAAATTATGTTGGTCATAAATTGGCATGATGAAATTAATACAAGATAAACAACATTTAAAAAATAAGTACACAGAAAGAACACTTGACCTGCATGTCAACAGGAATAAATGCAAACACTTTCTCTTTTGTAACCTACAGATAGTGTGGTAAGTAAGAAAACTTAAGTCTTTTAATTAAGATTTAAGAATTAACAGTGAGCTTTGGATGACTTCTGTTTATCCTCTATTTCTATCCCTGTTCTTCATGCTATGAGGAAAAAGAAAACTAATTTGAAAGCACAATTTTCTGCTTTCTCTTATGTTTAAACAAATTTGAATCCTGGTGAGTTTCCCTGCCTTGTTGGTACTTGGGCTGCCTATCTTCAAATGTAGCTTCATGAGGTCAGAGGATGTACTAAGACTTATCAGGCAACTGTGTCTATTCTAAGGACATGGAACAAGTATCTTGGCTCTGGACAAAGAAGTCAGAATAGTCATTTTGATTATTATCTTAATTTTAGTATGATCTTTAGGATTCTACCTGCATTCACAGGGCTTTCAGGTTTTTGCCCCTGCCCAAAAGCATGCTAGAGTTAGGGCCACACTGAGCATTTGCAACCGGTGTCTACAGGTCTGTGATAACAAAATACATGTTTATAAACCTTTGCCAGGTTAATGGCTCACTTACCCATTTATTTACTGTAGACTTAGTTGTTGCAACCCAAATTGCAGGAGGAGGATCAGCTGATCTATCAAGCTCCATCTGAAAACAAAGCACAAAAACATTGCTTTGTGGAATGTCAACTCTTCTGAACTGCCAGGACTGGATACGTTATTAACTCCTTCATTCAACAACTGTATGTGACTATACCTGGACATGTGTGAAAAACTAAGGATAAACAGAAAAATGAGAGTCTTTTTCTTTGCTAAATAAATTCACAGCCCTATAAAAGTGTAATGGGTAATTTCTCACCTAAAACAGTGGCTAATAATTTTAAGTGTGGTCAATTTGAGGGACTTGAATGGATACAGTCAAAAGGATAAAGACTTTCCATAATTTTTTCTTTTTGTTACTCCAGTTTTTATATTCTTTTTTTTAATAACAAGAAAATAAATTTCTTTTTACTCTGAAAATGTCTGAAGTAAAAAACATCCTAACAACATAGTAAAAGTGAAAATAACCCTTGCCTAAGGATGGGATGCCTGGGAATAGCTTACTGTCTGTTCTTCTGTATGTGAAATACTGCACATATAAGAATATGTTTATGTGCATGTATATATTACACAAGTGGAATCACTCTACATTCATCCACTATTCTTCCCACATCAGGAAACTACAGGTTTGCAGTGGTGGGGACAGGGCAGGACTCCTAGCTAGCAACAATCCTCCTCAGTTAAGATGATATTCCTCATAACATGTAATTACGTTTGTGCCAAATTCTTTCAGTCTTTTCCCCACAGCCAAGATCCCGGCAAGAGATCCAGGCAGCCGTAGAACTCATAATGCAGAGTGTTTCTCCTCCAAGCTTGTCTCCCCATCAGCCTGCTGCCTGCACGCATGTTGTATATGTATGATTATTAATTCAGCTCTGACTCCTTGCTTCTCTAAAGGATTACTGGTTTGGTCCATTAGGATATGCCATCTATTTTAAAGAACTGTACTTGGCCAGTTTTGTCTGAGCTCTTAGACTGCAGACATCCTCCCAACCTTCACATTTGACCTTCATTCCTCTTTTCAGCCCTTCCTCCTATACAGCGGTCTGAGGTTTCAGATGTCACTTAGTTTCGCAGAGAATGGGTATCTGCAGTTCTGCTTCTCATTTTCCTTTTAGGTGATTTCTGAGAAAAGGGAGTAGTAGTATTTTTCTGCCTTCATTTTAAAATTTGGAAACTTCTGGCTGGGTGTCGTGGCTCACGCCTGTAATCCCAGCACTTTGGGAGGCCAAGGCGGGCAGACCATGAGGTCAGGAGATGGAGACCATCCTGGCTAATACGGTGAAACCCCGTCTCTACTAAAAACATTAAAAAAAAAAAAAGACAAAAAAAAAATTAGCCGGGCGTGGTGGCGGGCGCCTGTAGTCCCAGCTACTCGGGAGGCTGAGGCAGGAGAATGGCCTCCTGGGAGGCGGAGCTTGCAGTGAGCCAAGACTGTGCCACTGCACTCCAGCCTGGGTGACAGAGCGAGGCTCCGTCTCAAAAAAAAAAAAAAAAAATTTGGAAACTTCCTCACAGTTGTTTTAATGTGAAATTCTGTGACTATCGGTGAGGTTGAACATGTCAACTGGCCATTTTTCAGTCTAGGATTCATTTTCAGCAGGTGTCCATATGGATGGCCTCCAAAGACTTTCTCAAGAACCCTTTGACCCACATGACAGATCCTGATGGTCAGGGCTGCTCTGAGGCAGTGGTGGTTTGGAGTATGAAGCAGCCTGCTCCCTTTTCTCTTTGAGGAGAGTACTCTTTCACTTCCTTACTCCTGAGACCATGGACACATTTCCTGACCTTCCTCTGCTTTGTCGTCTGCTCACAGATAACCTTAACTCCTCATATTCCTCCTCCTAAGGACTGCTCAGGAAAGCCAGGCAAGCTCAGAAGCAAGTATGAGACAATTTCACTACAATCCATCAGTGGCAGAGTCACGCATCACTGATGCACCAAGAAGTCACACTTTCTTCTACAGGCGACTTACAAAACTGTTTAAAAAAAAAAAAAAAAGCAAAACACAAAACTGCCCCAGAGTATCTCATACCGACACTCTTCCATCCAGACAGATGGCTACTCTTCCTTGTCCTGTTAAGTTCTGCTCATAATGGAATATCTTTTTTACAAACCACCACCCACCGGCAGTTGAGTCATGTTTTAATATAGCTTTTGCTCTATTTGACTAACACACGTAACAACCTTAATTATAAAACTAAAATATTAATATATGATATACCTTAAGAACTGGTGCTTTTTCTTCACAAATTAGTACCCGAATGTCAGGGTTTCTTAGGTCTGTACAATAAATCTTCCTGTCCCTTCCACCAGAATACACATGTGTGAAGGCATCATTGACTTGCAGCGCCCAAACACCTTCATCATGGACTCGGTATGTTGCTATACATCTCTGCTGGCCAAGGGACCAAAGGCGAATTGTCCCATCAGAACTGCCAGAAAGGCACTACAAACAAAGAAAGGTAAAGTTAGAACTTGCCACAAAGTTCCTGCTTTCTTGTGCTTTGCACCTGACTTCTCCTGAGTCCACACTGTCAAACACACAACTCTAATAACTGTGTTTCTGCCTCGGATAAAGGCTTGACAACCATGCACCACAGGCTAAAGTGACCTAATTCACTTAATTTGGGGAAAATTACTTATTTTTCCCAAATATGTAATTAGGGTCGTTTTGTTGATCAATTCACTAATCTGTAAGTAAAAGTTTCTTTTCTCCTCATCTCTTTTTCCTAAATAAATAGTTATGGTTGTTTTGTTGATCAATTCACTCATGTAAATATGCCACGTTGTTGGTGGTAATTTTACATTTAGTCTATAGTTGCCAATAGGGAAAATGGATGGAAGAGAAACTAGATGAATGATACCTATTAATTATGCTTAGAGATACTCCAGCAGGAGAAATCACTGAGCAAGAACTGCCTTTGTCCTCTCTTCCTGGCCACTTGCTGATTTCTGGTCAATCCTGTAGACAAGCCCTGTTTGCATTATCTACTACTAAGAGACATAGAGTTTGAAAGCAGTGGAAACAAAGGTAGTAGTCTGCACTAGGCCCATGGGTCTCAAAGTGTGGTTCCAGCAGCATCAGTGTCCCCTGGGAACTTGTTAAAATATAAATTATTGGTTCTTATTCAGAGCTAACAAGGCAGAAACTCTGTTGGAACCCAGCAATTGGTGCTTTAACAGGCTCTCCAAGCGATTCTGATGTTCTCTATGTTTGACAAACACTGCACTAGGCCAGCAAGCTTTTTGAAGCCCTGGGTTACACCACTGTCTCATGGCTCTGGATTCCTGATGAGGCCAGGTCTCTTGGATTCTACTGACAGGAGTCGGAAACAAAATCTTGTCTCAGGCTTACCATTCACTCTTTGTGCTGGACAACTTCCATATGAGGAGCCTCAGGTGAGTTAACATTGGCAATTCTGACAATTTCTGATGGCTCAAGAGAGTCAACTACATAGAAGCTGCTGGCACACAAATGAGGGCTGCGCACACTGTGAGTGCGGCGGAAAAAGACTGAATTAGACACCCTGCATCCACACTCAGCATGTTACTGTGGTGACTTGAAGAAGAGGATAAATACTTGATTTCCTTGGGAAAAAGAATGGCCCGGAGGAAAAAGCAATTGCTGCCACTGGAGTATGAAGTTAAGTAAGCAAAGAGCTTCAAAGAAGGAAAGACAGTTGTGGTCTTGGAGATTTGGAAGGTGCCCAAATACATGAGGCCTTCAGAAATAAAAATTCACTGGCCTGCCCCATGACTTTAAGGGCCCCTGAGAACTCTAAGCATGTTTAATTAAATGAACACATACTAGGAAACTCCCCCACAAGATGCCAGGAGCATCAGTAGTTTAATAACGTATTCCAGCTAGTTGACAAGGGAACCAAGAAACTAACCAATAAAGAAACTGTCAGCAGTAAGGTTAAAGCAAATCTGCAACATGTGTGAGTGAGAAATGTGGCAATCGGATGGTGTAGGGGCCAAGGAGGGGCTCCCCATTCCAGGAAGAGGTGTTACTCTGAGGTGGCAAACTTTCAGTAAAGCTTTGATCCCTCAGATCCTAGACTATGCATCTACAGAGTAAGGTCTGACAACTTAAAGAGGATAAGGAAAGTAAGATATGATGGGTTAGAAATCCTCGTGGCCTGGGGCAACTTGTAACAGGAAAGGATAAGTCTCAACTAAGGGTACACAGTTGGAAGCAGATAAGGAAACACAGTTGTATCAACGCTGATATAGAACGCAAAGTAATCTCTGATGGTAGGTAGTATTCTAAGACTACAGAAAAGCAGGCCCCCCAACAAAACAACCACTTTAATAAATATTGTGAAAATGGCCATACTGCCCAAGGTAATTTACAGATTCAATGCCATCCCCATTAAGCTAATAATGACTTTCTTCACAGAATTGGAAAAAACTGCTTTAAAGTTCATATGGAACCAAAAAAGACCCCACATTGCCAAGACAATCCTAAGTCAAAAGAACAAAGCTGGAGAGCTCACGCTACATGACTTCAAACTATATTACAGAAGCTACAGTAACCAAAACAGCATGATTCTGGTACCAAAACAGAAGATATAGACCAATGGAACAGAACAGAGCCCTCAGAAATAATACCACACATCTACAACCATCTGATCTTTGACAAACCTGACAAAAACAAGAAATGGGGAAAGGATGTCCCTATTTAATAAATGGTGCTGGGAAAATTGGCTAGCCATATGTAGAAAGCTGAACTGGATCCCTTCCTTACTCCTTATACAAAATTAATTCAAGATGGATTAGAGACTTAAAGTGTTAGACCTAAAACATAAAGATAACGCTAGAAGGAAAACCTAGGTACACTACCATTCAGCGATGTAGCATGGGAAGGACTCTCAATATCTAAACACACCAAAAGCAACGGCAACGAAAAGCCAAAATTGACAAATGGATCTAATTAAACAAAGAGCTTACTGCACAGGCAAAAACAACTATCATCAGAAGGCAACAGGCACTTGACAGGAATGGGAGAAAATTTTTGCAATCTACCATCTGACAAAGGGCTAATATCCAGAACCTATAAAAGAACTCATATCAAATTACAAGAAAAAAACAAACACCCCATCAAAAGTGGCAAAGGATATGAACAGACACTTCTTCAAAAGAAGACATTCATACATCATCACTCGCCCATCAGAGAAATGGAAATCAAAACACAATGAGAATTACCATCTTCACACCAGTTGAATGGAGCAATCATTAACAAGTCAGAAACAACAGGTGCTCGGAGAGGATGTGGCAGAAATAGGAACACTTTTACCACTGTTGGTGGAATTGTAAACTATTTCAACCGTTGTTGGAAAACAGTGTTGGTCGATTCCTCAAGGGATCTAGAACTAGAAATACCATTCGACCCCAGCCATCCCCATTCACCTGGGTTATATACCCCCAAAGGATTATGACAGTCATGCTGCTATAAAGCAGCATGCCACACGTAATTTTTATTGCGGGCACTATCACGATAGCAAAGACGTGGAATCAACTCAAATGTCCATCAGTGACAGACTGGATTAAGAAAATGTCACATATTACACCATGAATACTTATGCAGCCATAAAAAACAGATAAGTTCTGTCCTTATTTGAAGAGACATGGGAAGCAGCTGGAAACACCATCATTCTCCAGCAAACTATCTCAAGAAACAGAAAACCAAAATACCGGCATGTTCTTTACTCATAGGGTGAGAACTGAACAATGAACTCACCTGGACACAGGAAGGGATCATCACACACACGGGTCCTATTGTGGGGATGCGGGTGTGGGGAGGGATAGCATTATGAGATATACCTAATGTAGTGACGAGTTGATGGGTGCAGCACACCAACATGGCACAAGTATACATATGTAACACAACCTGCACGTTGTGAACATGTACCCTAGAACTTAAATTAAAAAAAAAAAAAAAAAAGAACAAAATAGAAAAAAAAAAGTATTATGTTGGCCAACTTCTTCGCAGTGTTTGGTAGTATGATTAAGAATGTCCTGTTTTATAGGAATTCTAGTGCTGAGATCTTGTAGGAGTTGGAGGAGTCATCAAAACATTTCCACTGCCTCCATCCTTCCACTAGATAAACATAGATAAACATGAAGATGTTCATTATGAGGTAACTCCTGGGACAAGGACAGAATGTCCTTCAATGATTCTGCTAAATCAGATTTAGTGGAATAGAGTCTGTAGCCCTCCCTAATCAGGTGCTCTTTGTTTCTGTCAATGAAGATAGGAAGTACCAGTGTACTCAGGCCAAGTTGCTGCTGGCCAACAGGAGTGTTCCTGGGATGGTCACTAATACACAATCTCAAGTGCCAGCAGAGATCAGCCAAGTAGACGAGGTAAGTTGAGGCAATAAGTGGCCTGATGCTCTGAGACCCTCAGACCCATAAGCTAGGATCAGCAGACTTGTATTACCAAAAGAACCCTGTGACATACAAGGACATGACTGACTCAAATCAAGATGGCAGGCTGTCCCCAGCTCCTCAAGCAATTAATTGCCTGAGTAAAAGGAATAAAAAGATAGGTGGCTCTGCCCAATAATGTTAGCACCAATCAAAGCAACTGCAATGCTGACCTTTTTACAGGCAGAACTCCCTTAGGGAGAACCTCAAATACATTTGGTAAATAAGAATCTTATTCTACAACAAAAGAATGAGGCAACAGGCAGATGTTCATGGGATTCACTGGCCTATAACATATATATCTTACTGCCAGCTCCTGACTTAACAAAGTCACCAGATACCCTATATTATAAGCTCACAGGGCAATTTAGCAGGATGCAATATAAACTTTGGCCCAGTAACTGACAACCACCTCTTCCATATTACAAGAATTCAAGAATCTGTAAGTAGAAGTTTCTTTTTTCCGCACCTCATTTTTCCAAAGAAGTAATTATAGTTTTTTGTTGGTCATTTCATTAATTAGTAAGAGTTTCTTTTTTCCTCACCTCTTTTTCCCAAATAAGCAGTTATCACAGTTTGTTGATCAATTCACTAACGTAAATATGCCAGGTTGTTGGTGGTAATTTTACATTTAGTCCATAGTTGCCAATAAGGAAAATGGATAGAAGAGAAACTAGATGAAGAATGATACCTATCAAGTATACACTCTGAGACTAACAGGCAGTTTTTAAAGTAGAACCACAATATTGCCTCTGCTTACAATAAATGTAGCTGACTTCAGATGAAGTACATTTCTAACTGTACATGTGATACTTAAATCATCTTTTATAAAAGCACATTCATAATTGCATAGATAGGAAACAAGAGATGGAGTAGACAGGTAGAGCTTTAGAAGGTCTGCCAGGCCCATAGCCCCCTTCTGGAAACCATGGAGATGATATGATCCAGCCCAATCCTGGCAAAGCTAACTAAAGACACATGGGCAACCATCTCAAGTGCAGCCTTGCAGCTACACTGCAAAACAGTGAGGAGCTGACTGCACTGGGCTTCTTACACTCACATGAAAATGACGTCACAAAGGAACTTGAGAGCTCTAGAAAATGTCCTGGCTTACAGTCAAGAAAATACTTACTATTAACACATGTATATACACACAAACACACTCTCACCAACTATATATTATGATTCTCACTTTGCAGATAAGCAAATTAAGGACTAAAGTGAAATTTTATCCTCAAGGTCACACAGTACATCAAGATTCTTCACATTTCCAAAGACCTCCACAGGTATCTTTAAGTCTTTCTTTTCCTGGTTCTGAAAAATGATTTCCTTCCTTAGTTTCCAAACCTTCTGTTCACTTCTGGAGGCAACGGTTTCTCTGATTAATTTCTAAAGCAATTTCTGCCTTAACTTCCACAGGAAAAGAAACCGATGGTGTTTCTCACCTCATCATCTTTCTACTCGCCCTTTTCTAACCCTATCACAATCAATTCCAGTTATCTCTCACTTATCACTGCACTCTGAAAAAAAAAAGGCTGAGGGAGTCAAGGTTACATGGTAGATGTATGTCATACCTACAAGATGATGGCTTTTGTTTTTTATTATCTACATTGATGAAATAGTATTTTCCACTGCTACAGAACAGAATTGTGATTTATAATTCACAAATTATGTGGCCAACAGAGCTAATGTATAACATTACCAAAATGCTTTTCTTTGAAATGTTCACCCTGAGCATTATGTTAGAAAACTAAATTTATCAACTATATCTACATAGTCAACTGACAAAACGTGCCCCAAAGTCAGACCCACTGTGAGAAAATTTTCCACTTAACACATTGGCAAAAAGCATTTGATATCAAAGCTTTCTTTTGCTTTACACAGGTAACATTTTTAGTTATTTTAGCCTCTATGCACCATAAATGCATATACTCATTTGCATTAGAATTATTCTAAGGAAATTCTTTTTGTTTTTAAAAGTGATGCAAATAGAATAGTTTTTAAATGTAGCTTATATGTGCAATTTAGTATTTTAAAATTTTTTAATTAGACCACAATTTATAGTAAGTGTGGCTTTCAGTTCAAATCAACCTATGCAATAGTATACAAAGTGCAGAAATTTCTAACAAGGCTATTAGGTAAATACTCAAATGAAACTGCATACTTGCGTGCCATCTCTGTTTAATAGCAATGCCTTCACATTATCCGTGTGCCCTTTAAGCTTCATTAGTTTTGCACATGTTCTTGGATCCCATACCCTTAACACCTGTGAATTTTAATAGAATATTACACAAACTAAATATATCAGTATCAAATTTAAGTAACAGACAACTCTCATAAGGCAAATGATAACCATTAAATTCTGAGAAGGCAATACTGCTTCTGCCAATGGACACTGTCTAAGCCTCCCAACCTGAGGGAATTGGGTCTTTCAAACATCAAAAATGCACAGCCTCTTTATCTTGTCACTATACACACAACAGTTATAGTTTTACCTATTCAAATAAAACCTTTTGTTTAGCACCCACTAGGCAAAACCACTGTCTATATATTTAATAATTACACAGATTAAATTATTTTTGTTTCTTTATTTTCTAATGTTCAAAACACCCTTTAAGCTCCCCCTGATCCACGCACAGGGGCTCTCACGCCTGCAATCTCAGCACTCTGGAAGGCTGAGGCAGGTGAATTGCTTGCATTAAAGAATTGGAGACCAGCCTGGGCAACATGGCGAAACCCTGTCTCTATCAAAAATACACAAAAATTAGCCAGATGGGGCAAGGTGTGGCCTGATGAGAGTGATGGTGTGTGCCTGGGGTCCCAGCTACTCAGGAGGTTGAGGTGGAAGGATCGCTAAAGCCTCAGAAGTCCAGGATCATGATGCCACTGCACTTCAGCCTGGGTGACAGAGACCCAGTCTCTAAATAAATAAATATAAAGAAGCTAATCGTAAAATACCTGCTTAAATAATAGGAGACAAGGTATGTGAAAAATAATTTTAAAAAAAGAAAAAAAAAGAAGAAATAAGCTCCTCCTTACCTTTTCAGTGGACCCTGATACAATGATTGTTCCCAGTTGATTCATGGCCAGGCTATAAATGGAATCTTTGTTTCCACTTAAAGAAGAAGCTATTGAGGATAAATGGAACTAAATGTTAACAAGATCATCAGCCATTTAGTAACTAGTCAGCAAAAACTTCAAGTTTAATTATTCAATTTAGAAAATATTATCTTTATAAGTACTCTAAGTAAAAGAAATCTACCTATAATGGAGATAATTCTAAACAGTATTATCAAAATTTACATATTTTCTGGATTTGAATATACACAAATGCTCAATAAATATCTGATAAATTGCAGTGCCACTGAAAAGCTATCCACTTAAATGACATATGTTTAAAGCAAAAAATGTGCCATAAATACGAAAAAAAGTTCAATTTCAGTATTTTTCAAACACAAATCAAACCAAAAATACTGTTTCATACACCAAGACAAAAAACAAGGTAATACTTGATTCTAAAAAGAAAACAGTACAACGGAACTCTCATACATTACTTATGTGAAGTATGTGGTACAACCTTTCAGGAAGGAATTCAGACAATATATAGCAAAAATCATGTTCATGCTCTCAGTATCACTGAAGTGAAAAAAACTGCATGTGAAACTGTCTATATAGTATGATCCCAATTTTACAAACAAACATATTAAAAAGTTGGAGTAAATGAGTTAATACATGTAGTGTTTAGAAAAATGTCTACTTGTAGCAAGTACTCGATACATGTTAGCCATTATTAGTGTTATTTTTATTATTATATATTTTTTAAAAAAGTGTGATATCCTCTCTAAACAACTCTAAGCAAGATGTATTTATAGTAGAATCTGTATCCACTAAGCCTGGGCCCTGACCTCGTGACAATCTGCTTCTTTTTTTTGCTTTGTTCCCGCCCATTAGTGTCTCTTTGAGGCAGGCCTTACAGCCAGACTTAAAATCTAATGATGTATCATGACAGCCCCCAACAGGGACCAGCTGATGAATCAGAGATAATGTACAGGTGAAAAATCAAGAACAAGGGAAACAGAATGTTGAGACCTTCACATATTTCGTGGGAAACAAGGCAAAACAACAATCAAGAGATTATAAATACTAGTCTCCCAACTTGCCCTTCTTGGCACATACTATGCTATATTAGTAAAAGTGTATTGTCTATGTCAATGTGAGCACTCCACAGAGTCATTATAAAATGGATCTATAATGTAGGGATCCAGAGAGTGCAGGCCCATGTTTTCAATGTAGACTTTCCAGGTCAGGCCTCGCCAAAAATGTGCTCCTAACAGTCCCTTCTGAAACTTGGCCTGGAGGACTCTAGTAGGTTGGGCCAAGCATGAAGCTCAATTTCAAATCTAGACTTGTATGAGCCTGACTTGGTAGTCTGAGATCTCTTAGCTGATGAAGCATCCATGCTGTGAACATCTCTGGATTGCCTCTAGCAGCACTCTACCCTTCTGGCTCTTCTGGAATTGGCTCGATTTCTCAGGGCTGCTCTAAAAGGCAGAAAATTGGATAAATTGGCACTGGAAAACTTTTCTTTCTTTCTCTTGGGTACTTTTCATATTGGCTATTAACTCAAAAGCTGTTAATATATATTAACACTTTAAAAAGTCAGAAAACGGCCTACTTTGTCAGATAATCACCACCTCCTTCAATAATACCTGCTGAGTGTATGGATTTGGACCAGGGAATGCTGTGGGAGACACAAAGTAGTAAGACAGTCTTCTCTACCCTGCAGCGACTTACATTTTAGCTAGGGAGCTAAGGCATGCACACGTACAAAAAATAACCAGGTTATACCTGGAGAAGTTACCATTTTCAGACTGCAGTGAGGAACTAGCTCCTTGTTGTTCAATCATACTCTTGGGGACTAGAACGCTGTAGGTAGAAGCACTCTCAAAATATGAACCACTGTCTTGATGCAAACCTATCAAAAATGTTTTATAAACCATTCTTTATTTATGTTAACTTGGATCACTTTCAAAGAAGTTTCTTTTAAACACCTTACTTGTGACAGTGTTATTTGAGGCAGTCAGTGCTGTTAGAGTATTCACATCCCAAAGGAATATTTGTCTGTCCAACCCAGCAGATGCTACTAGTTCTTTATCCTTGGCATATGCTAAGGCCTTTACGTAATCCTGTAATAGAAGAGACATACTATGATCTTTCTGTAGATCAGTAATAAAAAGAGCCACACAAAGTACTGAGATCCCAATATTACAGCAAAGACACTGAGAACTGTATTGTTTTACCTTATGTGTCCTTAATGTTGACATGCAAAATCCCTTATGTGCATTCCATACTTTTACTGTCGTGTCAGAAGAAGCAGATATCACTAGAAGAAGCAAAGAATTAACAAACTCCTTAGTAGTATGACTTACAACTTTGAAAACTTATCTTACAACAATGTAACATTATTTCAAACTAACCTGTTCTCTCTCTCACACACACAAACATACCTAAAAGCTCTTTCTAGAACCTACTGTATATTGCCTCAATTTTTTAAAATCTCAAGACACATGTTCAAAGAAAAAAATATATTTTTAAAACAAGCAGTGCAAACATTTTTAATCTTCCAGTTGAAGCCTCAACTAATGTGACTGAGAAAAATTCCTGTAGCTCAGACTGCAAAACCAAGGCATGGATCTCACCAAAACAAGAACAAAAAGAGGTATTAATAAGGCTAAAAGAAGAATACATTGAGTCTATATACAGTTCAAATCAAGGCAAAACTACCCTTTGGTGTTCAGAAGACAGAAGAGCAGTTACCTTGGGGCAAGGGGGAATAACTGAAAGGGTGGCAAAGGGTGGCATAAGGAGGCTTCTAGTAATATTCTGCTTCTTAATTTGGGTATTCACTTTCTAAAATTGTATTGAACTGCAATCTCGAACTGTGTGTACTTTTCTGTATGTATATTTCAATAAAAAAGCTTATATAAAAAATGAAAAATATATCAGAAGCCCAATAATAATCCGAAGAAATACTTACATGTTTTCCCATTACAACAGAGCACAATGTCGTTTACCCAATCCGTATGGTGTTCCATAGATGCTATATATGGATCTTGCTGAAATTAAAAGAAAAATCATAGGAGTTTACATGAGAGAATGAAATATATTACGAATGATAGATATGGTTAAATTCTTCAATTAATGTGACACACTGCTCTAGGCATTAAAACTAACACCTGAATTCTCAGTAGAATCTCACCAAATAGGTGATGCCTCCAGATAACAGATGTAAACAGTTTTGTTTCAGGATAGTTTTACTCTTACTGAAAGCTTAGGTTTCCAGGATAAATACTTCTTTTTTTTTTTTTTTTTTTTTTTTTGCCTTGTGAAAGTGAAGGCAACAAGCTCTGGACTAAGCACTGTGTGTGACATAAAACCCTCTAAAAAGGGTTCACTAGAAAGGACAGGGCTTGCAGGAATCTGTAGGCTGTGGGGATTTGAATGAGTGGTGGTGAAGGCTCAACAGCAGACAGCAGAGGCAGCAATGAGTCTGATGAGTGTGGTAAGGAGCCTGGTCTGAATGCAGAGGGAGATAAACACTTCTGCTTTCAGCTTCCTACTGTTGGGGTCACCTTCTGAATTAAATGTTTTCCTCATGGTACCTACAGTCCTTCAGAGACAAAATGAAACCCAATGGCTGAGAAAGGACAACCCATGTCACCATTTCAATTAGGTAATTCAAGATTCTACTTCTCTTACCTGGCTTAATAACCGGGAGAGGCCTTTTAAAGAACAGTATTTAGTTACATCCTACACCTAAAACAGGCAAGTTTGAGACACTTTATGGGCAAACAGAACAGCTCTGTACAAGTCTGTTTGACAAATAATGCTATTCAATCTTGTCATAAAAGGAAGACCAGAAAAAAGATGTTTGGGGCAGGACAGGCAGATTTCCAGATTCTTCAGGTTAGTTCTTGTGGGGGTTTTTCTTAATTTGTTTGAAATACTGTGAATTCTCAGAAAGGAGACATTCCAATTCAAATATAAGTACCAAAAAGCATTTCAAAGCCAAACATAGTTTTCTTACTTTTCATGCTTTTGACATTTGGCCACCACTGCTTCCACTGGCTAAAGAATTCAAAGCCTGCTAGACTGAAGTTCTAGGCGCATAAAGTGGTGGTTCTTTTTCTGAACTGAATATCAGATTTGTAAAACTTGCTAAAAAGACACAAACTTTTAAAAATACAAGGTCTAGCACTAGGGTTTTCAAGTTGGGTTGGGTGCTAATTCTCTGTTACTTACTAGCCACTTAACCATGGGTTTCTCTGAGCCCATTTTCCCATCTATGAAAATGGATCTGGCTGGGCGCAGTGGCTCACACCCGCAATCCCAGCACCTTGGGAGACAGAGGCAGGTGGATCACCTGAGTCTAGGAGTTCGAGACCAGCCTGACCAACATGGTGAAACCCTGTTTCTACTAAAATTATAAAAAGTAGCCAGACGTGGTAGCATGTGCCTGTAGTTTCAGCTACTCGGGAGGCTGAGGCAGGAAAATTGCTTGAACCCAGAAAGCAGAGGTTGCAGTGAGCCAAGACTGCGCCACTGCACTCCAGCCTGGGTGACAGACAAGACTCCGTCTCAAAAAAATAAATAAATAAAATGGATCCTAAAGATACATTGAAAATTAAAATCACTTTGGATATGAAAATGCAAAGAGCGTCCGACACATACTTAGAAGATCAATAAACGCTCTTCTTTTCTTCCCTCTTTCTTTTTTTCTATGTCATTCACAATATAAGCGTTCTAACAAAATACTAAAAGGGCTCCTTCCCATTTGCCTGGGGATTTATCTTTATATATATTTAAATCCTGTTCCCTGCTTAAGAAAGGGAAACTTTTGAAGGGCAGCAAGTTGTCTTCATAGTTTTAACACCAATTTTATATTATCTTTATTTATTTGGGACAAGGTCTGTTGCCTAAGCTGGAATGTAGCGGTGTGATCGTGGCTCACTGCAGCCTCAACCTCCCATACTCAATCAAGTGATCCTCCCACCTCAGCTTCCCAAGCAGCTGGAACTACAGGTGTGTGCCACCATGCCCAGCTAATTTTTAATTTTTTTTGGCAGAGATGGGGTATTGTCACATTGCCCAGGCTGGTCTCGAACTCCTGGACTCAAGGAATCCTTTCACCTCGGCCTCCCAAATTGTTGGGATTATAGTGAGCCACTGTGCCCAGCCTAACCTTATATTATCTAATTAGGCCTGTGGGGTTTGTGAGGACCCTAATTACTTTTAAATGAGGAAAATAAAATATTTTAAAGATTAATTATAAATGTAAAAGAATGTTCAATCTTTTTTTAGTAAGGTTACCAGGAGGTTTTTGGGGAACATATTTAAAGCAGAAAAATTAATTGTTGAAAGTAATCCCCCTACTAGCCAAATCACTTTGTTCCTTTGTGGCAAATAATTCTTAAGGCAAACTTAGTTTAGGGAGTCCTTGTCTTAGCTAAAACACTTCTGAAACTTTCCTAGGTATGGTTTTTCTCAGAGACTTACAGAATTCTGGTTGCGATGTATTTATAGAGTGTACCTAATAACTCAGTATTCAGAGAGATTAAATCTGAAACTGTGAAAGAGGTGTCGTATTACACAGTGAAAGCCATTTGCACAAAATTTGCTGGGTACAGATTTTAATCCCTGCATTACCTTGTGCTGATTGACACTCCATATTCTTATGATAGAGTCTCGACCGGCTGTGAAAAGTCTATTTAGTGCTGGATCCAGCTGCAGGGCATTGACTCCATTTCGGTTGTACTTCTCTACTTCATCTCGAATAACATACGAAACCTGACAAATACGTCAACATATGCTTTTTATAAAGTTAGAAACCATGCAGTAATAAAATATAGTCTTCTAGTGGCCAATCTGAAACAGAAAATCCCATGTTTTGCAATATGTACTTTTTCAATCCAATACAAATTTAATTTTAATTTTACTCCTTAAAGACTAAAGGGCTGAAGAGAAGGATGCTATCAATGATAGCCTAGTCCAAGATCAGTAAGTTGCTACACTACTACAACTGCTTCCTAACTGGACTCCTTTCCCACTCTTTAACGCATTTTTCACAAAGCAGCTAGAGTAATTATTTAAAAATGTATCTTAACTCTGCTCAAAAGCCTCCAGTTGCTGACTACTAGACTCATGATTGGGTGTAAATCCTTAACATGGTCTCAAGTGCCCTGTTTGTCTTTCTGGCCACTCATCTGTGCTCCAGGTTCTGGTGCACATTGTGCCGCCAGACCATCACACATGCCGTCCTCTCTGTTTGGAAGCTCTTCCTCCCACCTGTCTGGCTAACTCTCGTTGCAGCCTTTAGGTTTCCATTTAAACAATACTTCCTTTAGAAGGCCTTCCCCGAATTGCCAAGCAAAAGGAGGTTTTGAGCTCCTATGGCATACTAATAACCTTTTTCTTCAGGGCATTTTTCCCTACTTTATTATTGTTGGTGACCTCTGCCTGTTCCTTGTGAAAACAGAGGATCAACTGAAAACAATTACCCCTAAGAAAAAGTCAATAAGCTGGCTGGCAGCCAGAAGTAAAACTGTCTAATGTAATGAAATCACCAGTTAAAACTTAACTTAAGATGGATTAAAGACTTAAAACGTTAAGACTTAAAATCATAAAAACCCTAGAAGAAAACCTAGGCAATACCATTCAGGACACAGGCACGGGCAAGGACTTCATCACTAAAACACCAAAGTCAATTACAATAAAAGCCCAAATTGACAAACAGGATCTAATTAAACTAAAGAGCTTTTGCACAGCAAAATAAACTACCATCAGAGTGAATAGGCAACCTACAGAATGGGAGAAATTTTTTGCAATCTGCCCATCTGACAAAGGGCTAATATCCAGAATCTACAAAGAACTTAAACAAATGTACAAGAAAAAAAAAAAACATCAAAAAGTGGGCAAAGGATATGAACAGACACTTCTCAAAAGAAGACATTTATGCAGCCAACAGACACATGAAAAAATACTCATCATCACTGGTCATCAGAGAAATGCAAATCAAAACCACAATAAGATACCATCTTATCCCAGTTAGAGTGGCAATCATTAAAAAGTCAGGAAACAACAGATGCTGGAGAGGATGTGGAGAAATAGGAATGCTTTTACACTGTTGGTGGGAGTGTAAATTAGTTCAATCATTGTGGAAGACAGTGTGGCGATTCCTCAAGGATCTAGAACCAGAAATACCATTTGACTCAGCAATCCCATTACTGGGTATATACCCAAAAGATTATAAATCATTCTACTATAAAGACACATGCGCATGTATGTTTATTGCAGCACTATTCACAATAGCAAAGACTTGGAACCAACCCAAATGTCCATCAATGACAGACTGAATTAAGAAAATTCCACCATGGAATACTATGCAGCCATAAAAAAGGATGAGTTCATGTCCTTTGCAGGGACATGGATGAAGCTGGAAACCATCATTCTCAGCAAACTATCACAAGGACAGAAAACCAAACACCATATCTTCTCACTCCTAAGTGGGAGTTGAACAATGAGAACACACGGACACAGGGCAGGGAACATCACACACTGGGGCATGTCGGGGTGTGGGAAGGGTTGGGGGAGGGATAGCATTAGGAGACATGCCTAATGTAAATGACGAGTTGATAGGTGTAACAAACCAACATGGCACATGTATATCTATGTAACAAACCTGCATGTTGTGCACATGTACCCTAGAACTTAAAGTATAATAATAAAAAAATTATCTAAAGTAACTATAGTGATTCCTTTAGGAACAATTATATCCTTTCTCCACATCTTAAACCAAAAATGAACTTTTCTATGAATTAAAGACTGAAATTTAATAACCATAAAAATAACTTTTGTATTTATTTTTTGAGAGAATCTCGCTCTGTCACCCAGGCTGGAGTGCAGTGGCCCGATCTTAGCTTACTACATCCTTTACCTCCCAGGTTCAAGCAATGCCTCAGCCTCCTGAGTAGCTGGGATTACAGGCATGTGCCACCGTGCCCAGCTGATTTTTACATTTTTAGTAGAGATAGCGGTTTCACCATGTTGGCCAGGCTGGTCTTGAACTCCTGGCCTCAAGTGGTCCACCCGCCTCAGCCTCCCAAAGTGCTGGGATTACAGGCGTGAGCCACTGCACCTGGCCAGCATAAAAATAATTTTTGAAAGACAGGTGAATATTTACATAGTCCCTTGGCAGAGAAAACTCTTCCAACATGCCAAGAAAGATGGTAATCTTTACGAAGGAAAAGAACAATGGTGATCTGGCCAAATACAAGTCAAAACCTTTTCTATGCACAAGAATGTTCACGGCATTGTGCCATTCACAATAATGCCACAAAAGTAGAAACAACGCAAATATCCATCAACTGACAAAACAAACAACCCAAATATCCATCAACTGACTAAACAAAACAAAACACACTGACAAAACAAAATATATATACACAAATATCTATACACACTATATATACACATATATACACACACATATATATACACACACATATATATATACTGTACTGACACATGCTACAACATGGATGAACCTTGAAAATATGCTAAGTGAAATTAGCCACATATTTTACAACAGGCCACATATTTTATAACTCTATTTATATATAATGTCTAGGATAGACAAATCCACAGAGAAAGTAGATTAGTAATTGCCAGGGGATTGAAGGAGGAAAAACTAAAAAATGGGGAGTGATTGCTAATGAACATAGAGTAATTAAACATTCTGGAGTTAAGTGACCAATAAACAACTTTCTGAATATACAAAAAAGTCACTGAATTGTACATTTTGAAAGGGTGCACTTTATGGTACGTGAATTTTATCACAATGTTATTTTCTTAAACCTTCTGAATGTCAAAAAGTAACATGAGCAAGACTAAGAGAATAATGAAATAAATATGAAAGTTAGTTTACTCTTAACAAGATTCCTTATAAGAAAAAGTCAAATTTTCTAACAGAAAGAGGAACAAAGTTACAAAAAGGAACTTTTAAAAAAAGAAATGGCCAAAAACCACATAAATAATCAAAGACATAATTAATATGAGATTATTTTACTTATAATACAGGAAAATTTTAAAAATAACTGCCATTTTTGTTTCCCCTGAGGATAAATAAACACTTTCTGACAAAAGTTTTAAACTCTTTGAAATGTTCTTTAAAATTCAATTTCCGGAAATTTGTCCTTTAAAAAGGGCCAGGGCTGTAGACACAAATCGCTACAAGGATGTTGTTTTAACCAAGTCTTTTGAATGCAATTAACTGTAACTGAGATCTACTCAAATCAGCTTTTTTGTTTGTTTGTCTGTATTTTAAAGGAGACTTCAACACAAGGATACAAGATATCTTAACAGAGCCCCAGGTCAGGAAATACAGTCATCATTTATAAGAGGCATTTAAAAAATCAAATCATGACACTTCTCTGCTGAAACTTTCCAACGGGTTTTTCACAAAATTTAAAGTTCAAACTCCTCAAATGCTTAGTTCTAACCCCACATCCTCACACTCATTTCAAACTGACTGCCCCCAGCCTCTTTTATGACAGTCACTCCAAACTCCTTTCTGTTCCGTAAACACATCAAGCTCTTTCCCATCCCAGCACCTTCTCATTTACTGTTGCCAGTGTCATGAAGATTCACCACCCCTCGAATCCCTATAGCAATACTCTTTCTCCAGCTTTCATCTTGTCTAACTCACCCTTACTCTTCAGATCTTAGGAAAAAGGTCTCCTTGGAAAGGCCTTTCCTGATCTCATTCTCCTCAGGGTTATGACCCTATCACTTGCCCTACTTATTTAACAGTTCTTACCACATTCTTTATTCTTTTTTTTAATTATTATTATTATTATTTTTGAGACGGAGTCTCACTGTATCGCCCAGGCTGGAGTACAGTGGTGTGATCTTGGCTCACTGCAACCTCTGCTCCCCAGGTTCAAGCAATTCCCCTGACTCAGCCTCTCAACTAGCTGAGATTATAGGCATCTGCTACAGTGCCCAGCTAATTTTTGTATTTTCTGTAGAGACAGGGTTTCGCTATCTTGGGCAGGCTGGTCTTGACCTCCTGACCTTGTGATCCACCCACCCTGGACTCCCAAAGTGCTGGGATTACAAGTGTGAGCCACCACGCCCAGCCACATTCATATTTTTTGGTGTATCTTCTCCATTAGAATAATAGCTCCAAGGAGGCAAGAGACTTGTCTGCCTTGTTCCTTCCACCACTGTGCCCCCATCATAGTGTCTGGCATATAAAAGACATAAGTATCATTGCATGAATTGGCTTTCCAAAGCCACTAGGCACCAAGTTAGTTTCAATGTCAACTTCAGTCTCTCTCAATCTCTCTTTCTCTGGGGTCCCAGGGCTGCTTACGTAGCTCGCATTTCCTTTAACGGAGACTGCAGCATATCTAAATCTTAACATCCAGACTTCTGGGAGATTATCTGACTGATTAAGGCAAGAGTGAAAGAATAACCTGAAGGTCAGAGTTCTCATTCTAGGTGGAAAGTAATTACTGTCAAAACCAGTCTGGGCCAGCCTCTTCAATGATATTTCCTAAAGATGTGCGCTTTAAAATGTAAAAGAATTAGAAGTATCCTAGTTGGATAAATTCTAGCATGCACATCTGTAAAACACAGTACTATTCAATCACTTAAAATGTTGATGTAGGCCAGCTGTGGTGGCTCATGCCTGTAATCTCTGTGCTTTAGGAGGCTGAGGTGGGAGGACTGCTTGAGCCCAGGAGCTTGAGGTTGCAGTGAGCTATGATGGCACCACTGTACTACAG